AAATTTGAAGGGTGCAGGGTATGGGTGGTTTTTAGATTTCTTGCGAAGACGCAGAAACTGGCAGTCAGATAATGAAATGTTGCACGCCTGTGGACAGCCGGCTTTAAGTTTGACAATGGGGACATTGTCTGGTATATTATAACCTAAGACATTATATGACGACATCACCCTCTTTACAGCCTCTGCAGTCAAAAAGCCTAACAGGCGCTCAGATTTGAGAAGTGATTCTAAGCAAATATCTTGTGATGGACCACAAAGTTGGATGAAAGGAGTGATACTTTCAAATTTATCCTGCAGGTCTGATATGGATTTCTGAATGATCTGTAAATCGCTAGTGTTACGGGCTACCTTATCAATTGGTTCTTCCACTAAGTTAGATACCATATCTCTCGGTTTACCGAGAGATCTTGATCTTAGTGCAAATTCGTCGTCAGCACTAATGTTTTTAGTGAACTGCTGACTATTTGATGCTAGTCTATGAAGCTAAAGATAATATCAATTTCTCAAAAACTGATACAAATGTGTGAAATGCTATTATATTATCTAAATAGATAAAACAACAATAAACGGGTATGAATGTAAAAAATACAAACTAAAAATAGACCACTATCAAAAGAGTGAACTCTGATAGTTATAGACCACACAACTTAGGACTTCTCTACAATTCTTTAGTGATAGATTGCTCTTTAGTCACACGAATTCGACTGGATCCAAACAGTATTCTGGCAGTGATAAATTTGGATATTGAGCTACTGGAGGTGCAACCAATATCAGTTATAATTGTATAGTAGTCAAATATAGACCACGTTAATCCAGAATGTGAAAAATTATTTCCACGTTATTTGGGGAAATGTAACGTCCTACACGAAGCTCACGGTTTCAGCATTGGCAGAAGAAGCATCCAGAAGAAGACAGGACTTCGGGTAAACATTGAGAAAACAGAGGTGATGAAGATTCCTGGCCAAAAGCAACAACAACAGGCAAAGAACAGCACAAATTGGAGAAATCTGAAAGAAGCAACATCCTTTACCTACCTACCTAACTGGGAAGCATCGTTTCAACTACAGGCGGACGGAACTGTGGAAGATATCAAAGTAGAGACCGGGAAAGCACGGCAAGCTTTCATTTCGCTCAAGTCTGTATGAAGATGAACAGCATTTAGCATGAAATTTAAGGTCCGGATTTACAACTCCAATGTGAAGTCAGTGCTACTTAACATACAGATCAGAGACTTGGAAAGCGCGTCCCGAAGGCCAATTCGAACAAACTACAGACTTTCATCAGTAGCTTTCTTCGCTCAGTACTGCTCAAGATCAGATGGTCGGCTAGGAAAGATCAGCAACAGGGTCGGATCTCTGGCAGCGAACCATTCCATCAAGCACCGATTGTGCAACAAATATGCCCGGAGAAGTGGAGGTGGATTGGCCATACTCTGAGAAAACAAAACCATATCTTAGAACGCTATTGTAGAACTTTGCCTGAAGTGTGTCGGTGGTACAGTGGTTAGGACTCTCGCCGACTACGCACATGGTCCGGGATTCGATCCCCTGCCGACGCACACCCGATATCCATGGTCGACCTGCAAAATTTGGGCTACCGATATCCATGCTGAAAAATCCATACCCGTAATGAAAATACGGTGTGACTTCAAGCTGTAACCGAAAAAAGTGAGTGACACCACACGCCAGCCTCTCTCTCTCCCCAGTAGAACCCGAAAGGGTAGCGAAGAGTTGGTCGTCACTGCGAGGTTGATATGGAGGTCATGCGATGAGGAGATGAGAGCATGTGGTCAGACGTCGAGCCAGGTAATAACGTTGGTGGAGAACCGAACGCGGCAACTCTAAAGAACAGCAGCCCAAACCGAAACTACCTAGCGAACGGAAAAATGACCTTGAGCAACCAATCAGGTGACTCCGTATTTTCCAGATGTATTTATGGGTGCTTTGCACCTTTTGCGTTGCAAATTCGCTCCAGATCTTGTTTTTGATTACTGTTTGGAGAACAGACTGTTAGGAATGTCGAAAGAAAATACGATCGAGGGAGACTGAGTGTGAATGAGCAATAGGTATTGGGGATACATGACACCAGCCTCCAGAAAGGATTGTAGTGACCCGTTTTATTACTCATCATCGCAATATACTTTCATTGTGTAATTGTACTTCGATTTGTTTATTACTCTAAATCTTGCATCTTAACAATTGATACTTTTTGTACTCGCTCGATTTTTGAATTTTGATTGCTGCAATAATACACTGTCGTATTCCTTCGCAAGTGCCTTTTTAATTACGTTGTGGATGTCGAGTAATCACAACGTTAGGACACAAATATAAACGCGAAGAAGTACTAAGATATACGTGCATTCTAGTTCAGTCAAAATAGAGCAGCAACAAATTGGCGAGCCCGACATAGCTGATTGATGGACTACATCATTTCGAAGTATACACAGTGGAATAAATCATCTTTGCCGTCGCATTAACTTTTATAACTTCATAACATTTGGATGTATAATTACTGATATTTCTGCTAAAAGTACCTCCGGACCTGGCGGCACAACGACTGCTATCCCAGTTCACCCTGATACTCAAGCAGCTGTAGCAGCTGGCTGTTATGCAACACCTCAATTCCAGTTCTCTGTCCTCAAGCTTCAGCATTGTCTACAGGTGTGCAAACACTCTTACAATGGTCTGCAACTCCATTTACTCAAGCCGGTCCTACAGCTGTTCAATTACAACAGTTTACCCAATCACCTCAACAACAACAGATTCAAGCACAAGCTCATCAGTTACAACCAGCTCAACAGCCAACTTATATCCAACAACATCAGCAACAACCAACAATGATGGCAACTGACGTCCCTGTCAGTGGTCAACCTGGTACTGTAGCTGCACGCTCCTATGCTATTCCCCAGTTTATCATTCTAGCACCAGGAGCTCCATTGAAAGTCATGACTGTTGGTCCTAACGGTCAGTTGATTCAAATCACTGGTATACCACAGTTTATGCCCATTGCTTCTGCTGGAATGCCTATCAATCAACCAACTTCTACTCTCCAACCGCAGCAAACATCAATTCAAGTTACTCCTCAACGCCGAGTAACAACACCCCAGCAACAACAACAACATACTGACGGACGTTCACTTTCAACCGTATCAGCAACAGCAGCTACTGCTGCACTCTTCTCTGGCACAGCCATCTCTTCTTGTACAATTCCACTTGTACAACCAGCTTTCATGGAAATAGAGGTAACTGAATGTTTACCCAAGTCATTTCCATACTTCCTTATTACTATACTATTAACTGTATGTTAAGATATAAATCTAATATGTAACTCTTTACAATAACAACCTCATTATTATTCTAATAATAATTTTTCTGGTTTTATTGTTACATTTTGCACAACTTTCTAAACATTTTAGTTCGTTTCAAAGTTGTTAACATTTTCGAATATATACAGTTATAATCGAACCTCAGAAAACTTAAAATCCTCAATTCGGTTTTCATATTTTTTTTGTTCTTGTAATTTACAATATCATTCCGAATACAGGTAAACTTCATTTACCTGCATTCTACGGAGGGGCTATTGTAGTGACCCGTTTTATTACTCATCATCGCAATATACTTTCATTGTGTAATTGTACTTCGATTTGTTTATTACTCTAAATCTTGCATCTTAACAATTGATACTTTTTGTACTCGCTCGATTTTTGAATTTTGATTGCTGCAATAATACACTGTCGTATTCCTTCGCAAGTGCCTTTTTAATTACGTTGTGGATGTCGAGTAATCACAACGTTAGGACACAAATATAAACGCGAAGAAGTACTAAGATATACGTGCATTCTAGTTCAGTCAAAATAGAGCAGCAACAGGATATATTGAGGCAATCCCTAATCGCAGTGCAGGTGTATTATTGCCTATAATCCAGCGCTTAGTGCTGCCTAAGACGACTATTCATACAGATAAATAGAGTAGTTACAGTCAGTTATCGAATCTGGGCTATATTCATCAAGTGTCCAACCATACATTCTAGAAAGGGTTCAAAGGAAGGCGACACGTATGGTTCACGGCATGACTAATATATCATACGACTAGACAGTTTAAATCTCTACGCACTGTCATACTGTAGGCAGAGAGGAGATTTAATCACAATGTTTAAAATTTTAAATAATCACTACGGACCTGACTTGTTCTCTCTTTTCCTTCCCACCAGGTCGGAAAACCTTAGGGGACATAGCAGGAGAGTTGAAAAGCCAAGAAGAAATCATATTGCTGTTGAGTACTGGTTCTCACACCGGGTCATAAACTCTTGGAACCGACTCCCAGAAGAAGTGGTGTCTGCAGACTCAAGTGATTCGTTCAAGAAGGGTTTTTACAACCACAGAAATTTACTAGAGAAGGATTAACATAGGCTCCAAGCCTTCTATTCTCAACCAATAAATCTGATATGTAAATCTGAATACAAATGGTTTTCTCAATCCTTTTGATGGAACTCACACTAATTCCATCGAAGGTTTCTAGATTCACCTAAAAAACGTATCAGATCTGTGAATGGATCAAGAAATGCAATTATACACAGCTATATCGATGAGTTTATAAACAGGACTTGGTTTAACGTGAGTATCAAGACTCCTATGAGGAATTGGCAGGTTTTTTTGCAACATATACGAGAAAGTTGTCCTATGTAACTATTTTTAACATTGCATTACTTTTATGTATATATCAATCATTTATTAAAATTATGCATCATTTTTGAGCCTTCTGATTGGTCGAGGTTGTCCTTGACAAGGTCATTTGTCCGTTCGCTAGGTAGTTTCGGTTTGGGCCGCTATTCTTCAGAGATGTGCGGCTTAAACCCTATGTTCCTCAAGGAATTAAAGGAAACAATAATAATAAGCTGAAGGGTATAACGTCAAGGTGATTTTAAAGCCCGCCTAAGTAACGCGCACTGCATATTAGCCGCAATATTTATTCACGCGTGGATTCGCCAATCACAATGCGTGTAAGTGACCTTCAAGTGCTTATCCTCTCTGCAGGCAGTATGCTGCTATTCATGGTCAAGCGAAGACTTTCGCACTGCATTATTGTGTAAAGTCATTTCAACTATATTTAAGGGATGCTATTATTGTTCACTGTGGGCAAATTAAGGTGAAAGGATATAATGTGTCGCATTTTGGAGTGAAGTCGTATTTTTCTCCTACATACTCTTAAATTCATTGGCATTCATTCGCTTTGGTTTAGATTCCTGCCGACTAACAGTTTAGACCGTAATTTAGAAAAAAAGCTCTGTCACTAAGCGGGTAGATGTACATGGCGCAGTAGAATTTTGTTGACAATACATTGTTATGAATACCTGAGATTAAATCTAGTTTGGTGAAAGTTTACCTTCTCCGCTTGACGGGATACCATTAGGAGTGATATCATTTTAAGTCTGAACAGATATATGTGTTGGGATAGTGTGATACTGGTTATAAAATGCTAATGTCGTGATAGGTGATTCCCATGGCTTACGGAATTACGCCAACACTCAGTCTTCTTCATAGGGCTGTTAACTCTATATTTCTTAGTGCTAAAGTACTTCAGGACAAGTTCCTCTTACTGTGCTGCTTTTGTATAGTGACCGTCATCCCTGGAGATGTCGTCCATCGTCTGTAGAGATCTGGTCAAAGTATTGTGGTTGTAATCAATCTGGTTGTCGCTTAGGAAGAGCAACTGAATGATGGATAAGTTCTCTTGTACTGTCCTGGTCCTCATAATTACAGTTTGAAATGAACTCCTGATCTGACATTACTTAAGTATTAAGTGGCCAGAGCCTGTGGCTTTAAGAATCTTCTCTGTATCTCAAATAATCCGTGTTGGACAGTTTGTTACATTATCTCATATTGATTTTTATTCAAATATCTAGTCAATTCCATACATACATATATAAATGAAGGAAAAAGTTGTGTGAGTAACTTGATATGATTATGAGCAATAATTTGTGCTCGAAACGTCATCAGTTAATATTACTGTGTAACACTGTGTGATTTATCAAAATAAAATCTTATCCATAATGGATTTACACTCTACCACAGTGCCCAAGTTTTATACTTATATGTTAGCTTAAAATTGTCCAAAGGATCAGATTTTTATTATTTTTTGATTACAGCTTGATTCCATGCTGTTTTTTATGGTACAGGTATGGAATTTTCAGCATGTGATATCGGTAGCCCGAATTTTGCAGGCCGACCATAGATATCAAGTGTGCGTCGGCAGGGGATCGAATCCCGGACCATGTGCGTAGTCGGCGAGAGTCCTAACCACTGTGCCACCGACGCGCACTGTATTTTCTAATTACTCTAGCATCACCAGTATACGGTATTATATCGACCGTCTTGTTTACAGTTGCGTAGTTCTTGACAGTTGTCTATTTATCAGTAGTTTTGATATCTTATCCTGTAAGGACCTCATGAGAAAAAGCCCCCGGTTTTAATTTCTTCACCTGGCTTGTAAGTCAGCGATGCACACTACCATACACTTAGTTATCTTCTCAGGTCCAGAAATAAGTATATTAACGTGCTTCATTATCATTGAAGTAAGTTACATGCGTATTTAGAAATAACTAATGAGCCTCTGCATGTGTCTACAGTATATTGTGATGTAACAAATGTATTGATTGGTTCAGTGAAATAATGCTTCACTAATTTTAGGACTAAAAGCGCGTTCATCCAGGAGCCTATACCACTATCAAGTGAATAGTTCAGTTGAAAAGTTTGAACAACATCGGATAGTTCATACTTCTTCCGCACAGCATAAAAACAAGTTACATATTTTCAGCACATTTGTGTAATGGTTGTTATTTGTTGTATAGACAGAAATCAGTATAATGAATTAGTTGGCCTTAAGGTATTATATAAAAGCTGTCCGTTGTCTTAATGTAAGAGTAGAACTTAAGCTCTGTGGTAGGATGTAATTCCATATGACATAACAGTGATACGGTAATAACAGCTATTAAGGCTGTATCACTGTGCTATATCAAATAAAGGCATATAATATAATCGTTGTTGTTCTAGATCCGGCAAGGTAGCCGGGGCAAGCATCTTTTACCGGGATTTTCGTCGTTATAGGTATTAGTACACTCAGTGGTATCATGCCGAGCGTAAGTAGCAACTCAGTGTGTTTAACCAGTTTTCTCCCTGTTCCTGTATTTAAAATTAGTGCAAATCTCACTCCTGTGGTATATTTTAAGGGTGCAGATTTAATGCTAGACTTGTCCTTAATTCCCCAGAGATTTCTAATCAATCGCATCACCGATATCATTCTCACCGAAACTTTTGTTTCTTTCCCTGCCTCCTCTGCACCTGTTAAGTAGACATTTCATTTATTTTACAAATAAAAATGATTCCTTACCTACCTAATTCCATACTTTTTTCATCACGTTCATATTCTTTATCGTTTTCACTATCTCAGGAAAGCACTTTAATCCTGATTACTGTTATGCATTAGTAAATTAGTATAAATCTGCAGAAAGTTAACACAGTTGGTTTGTTAGTAACAATTAACATTTCTTATTTTCCTTCCTGCCTTGTGTTAATACAAGCTGTAGTGTGCGAGTTGTATCTATATATCTATATCTATATATCCTTTCCTGATACAATTTTTGAGTCTCATTTAATTTGTGGATGTAGTTGAACTTATCTATTGATAGAAAAGCATAACTGTTGTATCTAAGTAACGAACTCCGACATTTCTGTAATCAAGTTTATAAGCAGTACCTTCGATTACTGAATTCTTGCATCTAAGTATCGTTTTTATATTAATTAGTCAAATTATGATATTTCATAGAGATACCCCCAGTCATTGTAACATTCCGACATTTGGGTACCATTTATCTCAGTTTCCCCTTGCTCAATTTCAGGGATAATCAAAACAGTGAATAACAGAGCAGCATGTTCAAAGTGATGCTTGTCTTTCGGGGTGGAATTTTCATCACTTCCGAAATATAAGGTCTCAGCTTGTAAAAATTTCTTTATTTTTATTTTGTAGAATAAATTGCAAAATTTTATCTAATATTTTTTGTTTTTGCTGACCTACTGAACTTTTTTTTCTTTTCGTTTTATTTATATAGTTGATATAGACGTTTTGTTTGATCATGTCAAAATGGACTAGGCGATTAGGCTTAGCACTGGAATGGACATGTCATGGAATTCCTTGGATAGCTTGTGTTTTGTCATGGCTGATATTATTGTGGATTAACAACATACAAGGTGTTAAGGTACACTCATCGTATAATATTTTATGGGATAAGCAGTTTTTAAAGCTATCCGGCGATGAAATCGATACAAATGTTTCAAGACTACTCTCTTTACTCATTGCCTTATTATTTGATGCAATTACAGTAGGCCTGATCAAGTTGATATTTCGACGTCAAAGACCTAAAGAGGATAATCATTCAGATATGAGGTTAACCGTAGGCGTTGATGCCTGGTCATTTCCTTCAGGTATGTGTTTTATGTATGAGCATGTTATTTGCACGTTTTAAATAATTTTGCTCTTTTATTAAAAATTTGGTGTAGTATCTCGTTGTAAAGTACTGCCTTGTATCTTAACTAAAGCGTATAAGTAAAGAACAGATCTGACTGAGTTACTAGTTTCAACGTAGAACTGTGCACCGATGTGCAGCTATTCGAGTTGCCACACTCCATGTAGCACACAAAGCAAGAGGAAACAGTAAAAAGAGATTCAAAACAGAGATATGAGGCAAAAAGTGGTAATATGGAAGAACAATCTAGTTTTATTGGATATTATAAGTCACAAGGAGTGAATGCATCTGCGCCATTGAAAACAAGGATTTTGAGCCATATGACCATTTGTCGCCAGCCTTCATTGGTTTTTACCGTCCTGAGAACCCCAACCAGTCAGGAAGTCTACACCTCCCGACGTGGCTGACTTAAACTAACTATTGTGGATTTTATTGACTGGTGTCACCACTGGCTCTTTTCCAACCTGATCCATCCTCTGTCAGCTAACATTCCTTGTCGAGTAAGGCGATAACTAGACATGCGTAACACATTGCCTAACCATCTCAATCGATGTAACTTCACAGCGTCGTCTATTGATTTCCCCTCCTTACCTAGCACTCGGAGGCCTAACCACAATATTGCTCACCGTATTATGCCACTTCACACGGGAGATAGAACGCAGACACCTTTGATCTATTCTGAATAAAAAAAAGCATTCGTTCTTAAAAGGTAGTCAGTTACTGCTTTGTGGGGCTCGTTTTATTTTTCATTCATTACCTTCAGAAATGAATGATACATCCGGTGGCATAATTTGCACACACAATTAGTTTACTCACAAACTACTGTATAAATATGCGCAGAGATGTTGACTTTATCAGAAATAAGTTACCCTAACAGATTTTCCATGTACACGGCTTGGAATCACACATCTAGTTACATAGGCTGGTGTAGTTTAGAAGTTGAGTGCTATCATCAGTAAACTGGTTCTTTAAAGAACTTTTTATTTACATTGGTCTTCATATTTCTTTCTACAGAATTGGATTAACGTAAACTAAAAATGGGAAAAACATACTTGACAGTCAGGTCTGATAATCTTATTGGTAGATATGGTTCTTATTCCATTTATTCTGTTTGTTGCTTTTACTCTGAAGGACACTTGTCAGTTGGAGAGGTGGCTTATTGGTTAAATCAGTCCGGAGTTTGACTCCCTCCCTCCCCACCCACTTCAACCTGGACAACTAACTGGTGTCATCAGACTATAAAAAAGTCTGATTCACAGGCTGGTACATAAAAAGTTGGATTGAAATAACTGAGTTTTAACAACAGTTGTGTGAGTTTTGGCAAGTCTGATAGTTGTTCATTAATACCAAGTGTGCAGGTAGGATTCATTGACTTTTGGTGAACAGTTCTCAAGCAATTCATTTGCAAGCTCCTCTTTGGCCGTTGTCGCCTAGGTAGGTGGGTTAGCATGATTGTTCCTCATACGAATGCGTGTGTTGCTGGTAGGATTAGTGAATGTATCTCTACCACATGTTTGAATTGCATTTTGTTTTGTCGCACATTTTTTAGTGTCTGTGCTATATCAATTATGGATAAGATTTTATTTTGGTAAATCACACAGTGTTGTACAGTTATATTAAATGATGACGTTTCATGCTCATAATCATATCAAGTTACTCACACAAATAAAATCTTATCCATAATGGAGTTATGCTCTACCAAGTTTGTGTGCAAATAGCAGTGTCAATGAAATCGACAACAGTTAGTTTAAGTCAGCCACGTAGGAAGGTGTAAACTTCCTGACTGGTTGGGGTCCTCGTGACTTATAATATCCAATAAAACTAGATTGTTCTTCCATATTACCATTTTTTTTTGCCTCATATCTCTGTTTTGAGTCTCTTTTTACTGTTTCCTCTTGCTTTGTGTGCTACATGGAGTGTGGCAACTCGAATAGCTGCACATCGGTGCACAGTTCTACGTTGAAACCAGTCACTCAGTCAGATCTGTTATGGTTTACAACTATGAAAGGTAATTTTTTGAGACTTTATCATAGACTTCTTTGAGACACTTTTGTGTCCAGTGATATCACAGAGTTAGACTATTAAGGCAGGTTAGCAGAGATCTGAAAAGACTGGTTTCATTCCTGCCTGGGATCCAGGTTTTTATTTCACCTTTATTGAGCATCCACTGTGTCAGTGTATTGTCTGTATGTACTTTTTACGTCTCCCTGATATTTTTAGGCCTAAACAACCGGTCTCATTCTGGTATATGGGCTCTTTGAATGGATGGTTTACTATTGCTTTCATTTTTAACTCTGAGTTTCTTGTTTTTGGTGTTTGGCTAGCGGTGGTACGTAGAACGCGCATACTCCAACCAACCTTCAAGTTAGAAACTGAGGCAGACTTGTTTCAACATAGAACTTTGCACCGATGTGCAGCAGTTCGAGTCGCCACACTCCATGTAGCACACAAAGCAAGCGAAGAAAGTAAAAAGAAATGCAAAATATGAAACTGAGGCAGTGTTAAGATTTTTGGTTCAAGAAGCTCATATGTAAAATGAAACTAATAGATTCCATCACAAAATGTGGACGGTAAATCACAGACATCAACAAACAGTATTTCATTCTACCTGGAAGTGTGTGTCACTTGATTGCGTTCCTTGCTTTGCTGTGTACGAATAATGTCAGACTACAAGTAAAATGCGTGTAAATCGTTAACAGTTAACAAAGGTGCAGGTGTCTTTAGTTTCTGTCAGAGAAACTGGATATTTTTCCACTGATTTCCACTTTACTATTCACTCTCATTTCAGATACACATAATTTATATTCTTATTTGCCTTACTTTTCTTCTCAAGAGTTGATTTGTAAGGATTAGATTTTTTTCACGAGTTCGACCACGGATTGATATCAGTTAGAGAACCATTAAAAACCAGGGAGTACTGGTTAGCTGTTTCATGCTAGTTTGGTAATCATCGGTAGTACGCACCCGCTGGGCTTTGAACCCGAGGACCTTCCGGTTACAAGGCTAGCTAGGCTCGTATACCATTCAGCCACTGGGACCCGATTCAATGGACAGTGAGATCCATTCAATCGAGTATAACGGTGGATTTCCCGTCGATGACATTGGTTGATGGTCGCACTAAAAATCACGAATTGGTAGAATTGGTAGAATTCACGGGCTGGCTATTGAATCGGGTCCCAGTGGATGAATGGTATACGAGTCTAGCTAGCCTTGTAACCGGAATGTCCTCGGGTTCAAACCCCAGTGGGTGCGTACTACCGATGATTACTTTTCTTCACCTTTTCAAATTGTGTCTACACAAGAGATAGCCTATTTGTGTTCCGAGTTCTTCTTTGATTTAGAATTGTTGTCTGTTTTATTTATATTGCGTAGTATTCATATTTTTGTTATTTATTAATCTTGTCTATTTATTCTACAGGTCATGCTAGTCGTTCAACAATGCTGTTCTTTCTAATCTCTTATCTCTGGCTATCATCATCGTCAGCCAAATTATGGATAGGATGTTTATTATTACTATGGAGTATTATTGTATGCTATTCACGTTATGCAATGCGTCGTCATCATATAACAGATATTCTAGCCGGTTGTATATTAGGCTATGGTGAGTATTGTTTGATTAAACAAATTAACTGGAACCTAGTAGCCCTATACATATCTTCATATTTGTTTTAAAAGGCGATAATAACAAAGACACACGTAACGCCCCCCCCCCCCCCCCCGCCACACACTCACAACATAAAAGTATGTAACAATCGGAGAAATGATCGAAAAATAAGTCATACTTTTGATTTTTAGTGTATACCTTTGTGTAACTTTGATAAGTTTCTTCATTCCCTAATCAATATTTGTATTGTGCAATATATCATGTAAACTGAGTGAGTATAAAAGGTGTAATCTGTTTTGATTGTGAACATATTTATTGTCCGATCAGATTTTAGCCATTATTTTTAGATGGCATATTTTTTTTATCAATCACATTCTGTTACAAATCAGTTTGTTTTTCCATTTAATGTTACATTTTGATAAAATCCATTTTTACTATGATTATTATTCGTGCAATAAAGGTCCAGTTAATTCTTTCATCACTGTGAGAACATTGAATACACTGTGTGTATGTGTGTGTTAATTTTTATTCCCGATTTTTGCTATGGTATTTATTTATTTGCTTACTGAATAAGAAAAGGTGCTTTTTTCAAAAAAAAGAAAAGAGAATACAATTGTGACTAAAACAAAGTCTTGATGTACAAATAGACATTGGATACACTGGTAGAGTATAACTCCATTACTGAATAAATTTATTTATATTAAAAGCGCGCAGTAACACAATATTATTTACTGATGACGTTTCGAGCGTGGTTATTTGTGTTATTATATGATGAGAAATAGAGTCTTGGAATTAAGAGAAAGAGAGAGATGTGTCAAGTGCGTCGGTGGCACAGCGGTAGAGTGCTCGCCGACCACGCAGGTGGTCCGGGGTTCGATCCCCGGCCACCAACGCACTCCTTTACCTCGCTAAGCCAGTAGTAATAGTGGTAAAAAGGGAAGGTTGGGCATGAGGTTAGCAATCCCATCCTGTAAAAATAATCACCACTGCTACAGAAACTTCAAGCCTCTAGCTTGAAGCCCTATGTTCCACTGGGAACGTGAAGGAATAAAAAAATGTATCTAGTATAAATTGTTAAACGAAATTGCAAGGCTGAGACTTGAAAGTAGTAGTTCTGTCTGTCTGTTTGTCTGTTTTCGACATAAAACTTTGCACCGATGTGCAGTAGTTCAAGTTGCCACACTATGTAGCGCACAAAACAAGAGAAGAAAGTAGAAGAAATGCATAATAGAGCCAGTAAACAGAGGTGTGAGACAAAAGAATAGTAATAACGAAGAACAATCTAGTTTTATTGGATATTATAAGTCACAAGGAGTGAACGCATCTGCGCTATTGGAAACGAGGATTTTGAGCCATATGACCATTTGTCGCCAGCCTTCATTGGTTTTTACCATCCCGAGGACCTCAACCAGTCAGGAAGTCTACACCTTCCTACGTGTCAGGCTTAAACTAACTGTTGTGGATTTCATTGACTGATGAGGCCATGTTATGGTTTGACCACCACTAGCTGGCTCTTTTCTAACCTGATCCATCCTCTGTCATCTAACATTGCCCGTGAGTGGAGGAAGGCTATGACTAGGCATGCGTAACAAATCTCCTAGCCACCTCAATCGATGTAACCTCACAGTCTCGTGTATTGATTTCCCCTCCTTACCTCGAAGGAGGCCTAACCTCAGTATTGCCTACCCTACTATACCACTTCACACGGGAGACAGAACGCAAGCACCTATGATCAAAGATAGTTAGCGTTTTCATGTCTTCCACTCTCAATGGCCATGTAGTAGTGGTAGTAGTAGTGAGCTCAGAAATTGACAAAAATGTGGAGGTATTTTTCAGGGCGATTTATTCTATCTTCTCAAAAGAAGTAGATCGGCTAGTAGATTTCGGTAATGCGCTAAAATATGGTCACTCGTATTTGAGAACTGTTGGTATTACCCAGTTGTCCATGGCTCAGATAGGTGGGGCGAGATTCGAACTCCGGGATCAATCGGCTAGATTTCTAGTTCTGAAGTCAATGATCCATATGTATGTCTTTGAAAGGAGTAACACGGAAATGATCTGTTAAAGGTCTTCGAAGATTTTCACTTGGTATGGGGATTGGCTAGCGTCTGGTTGATGCAGTGGACTCCAGAAGACTGCATGCTTCTGGTGCAGTCGCATTTATATAATAAGGTTGGGCATGAGGCTAGCAACTCCATCCTGTCAAAGTAAACACTGCTACAGAAACTTCAAGCCTCTAGCTTGAAGCCCTATGTTACACTGGGAACGTGAAGGAATGGAAAGGAAGTAACATTGGAAACCGTGTAAGTTGAATTATTTCCATCACGACTCTGAAATACAGAATTGACAGAAGTTAGAAATTCGTATTCTGCAGAGTTGTTTGTATTGTGAATTTATAATAAATATGAATGGCATTGACTAGAAAATAGCAGTGAATCGAACACTACTGAATAAGTAACTCTAATAACATGCGGCTTCTCCTCTTCTCGAAAAGAACAGAAGTTGAAGTATAATGACTGACTAACTGACTGGATTCAACATAGAACTTTGCACCGATGTGCAGTAGTTCAAGTCGCCACACTCCCTCCTTCTAGCACACGAAGCAAGAGAAGAGATTTAAAAGAGGGGTAATAAACAGAAATATGAGTGAAAAAGAGTAGTAATATAGAAGAACAGCCGATTTTTATTGGATATGAGAAACCCCAAAGAGTAAATGCATCTGCGCCATTTTGAACCATATCACCAATTGTCTGCAGCCATTGGATTTTACCGTCCCCAGGTTCCTAACCAAGAAGTCTCTACCTCCCAACATGGCCTCACCTAACTGTTGTGGATTTCATTGACTGATGGGGCCATGTTTTGGTTTGACCACCACTAGCTGGCTCTTTTCTAACCTGATCCATCCTATGTCAGCTAACATTGCCCGTGAGTGGAGGAAGGCGATGGTTAGGCATGCGTAACACATCTCCTAACCATCTCAATCGATGTAACTTCACAGCCCCGTCGATTGATTTCCCCTCCTTACCTAGCGTAACCTCACTATACTGCTCAGCTTATCAGACTGAAGTTTGTGGAGTGGGACTCGAAACCGTGCAGTAAAGTAAAGTAATAAAACAACTAACAAGTAGCTTTTATTTGTTTACTGGATATTGAACACAATTTGATAAGTGTTCTCAGTGTAAAATGAGTTGATTCAAATAACATAATATAAACTTATCGGGTTCACTACAAGGCATCATTTATAAAAGATACCTAAAGTCATATGAATATTGTGTGATCATATAATATCATGTACGTATAAGGGTACTAGTGTGTGTGTGTGTGCGTCTACATTTCTGTGTCTTCTATGTAAACTTATAAGGATAAGTAATTTGAAGGAGCACAATCTCTTTGTATAGATTTTAAGAGATTAAACGTATCAATATGCATGCATGTTCAGTACATATGAGCAGTTAGAGAAATCATAAATGTGCACCTGAATAGAGTTATGGATTTTTCATGCTTAAGTTAGCGCCGAAACTGTTACCTCTAGAAAGACAATGAAAGCTTCATGATCCAGTTATTCAGAAGAGAGAAAAATGACAAAACAATAACATGAAAATTAGTTATTCACCTGAACCAGAAGTCTTCTCCATAATTTCTTGTATATAGAAGGCGGTTGTCTTTATTTGTTGTTAAACTTGATTTCTTCTGCTGTCAAAACACTCATTCAATATTTTTATTATTGTTATTTCTTTGAGTTCCAAGTGGAGCGTAGGCCTTCAACAACACATCTCCACTTGGTTCTGTTTGGTGCTGTTCTCTGCAGACAGGCTAACGATTATCCATAATCTCTCATCTCCTCTTCGCCACACGATCTCCTCCATGTCACCCTAGTACCGACGATGCACTTCCTGATTCGGATTGAGATTCCACTCCAGCTATGATTTACAAGCAAAAACCGACAAACTGGTTGAAGAAGCAGCAAAGACAGGACTGCAGATGAACATAGACAAGACGGAGGTTATGAAAATAACCAACCAACCAACAAAAACAACAACAGAAGCAACATCCAGAGCCAATCACCATCCACGGGAGGGATTTGAAAGAGGTTACTTCATTCACTTATCCAGGCAACCAGCATTGTCTCGACTACAGGAAGAACGGGTGAGGATGTCAAATCGAGAATCAGAATGGCAAGAAACACATTCATCAACCTGCAAACCAATCTGGAAATCTTCGTCACTCAACTCAGCATCAACAACAAAATTCGGATTTTCAATACAAACGTCAAGTCAGTCAGTTCTTCTATACGGATGGATCAGAAACTTGGCGGGTCACAAAGAATATTTCCAACAGCCTGTTGCAGACCTTTATCAACAACTGTCTTCGCTCTATACTCAAGATCAGATGGCCGGAAAGAGCAAGAACCAACAAGAAACTATGGGAAAAAACAAAACAAGAACCAATCGCTCAACAAATATGCAGGAGAAAGTGGAGATGGATTGGACACTCGCTGAGGAGGCTGCTGGGTGACATCGCGCGTCAGGCCATCACTCGAGTGGAAACCGAAAGGGAAGCGGCGAGTGGGACGTCAGTGCAAGGGTGACATGGAGGAGGTCGTGTGAAGAGGAGTTGAAACAGTATGGACTAACATGGATGCAAGTGAAAAGTACAGCAGAAGACAGAAGCAAGTGGAAACGTGTAGTTGAAGCCCTATGTTCCACTGGGAACCCAAGGGAATAATAATAATAATATGGCTTGCATTCCATGAGATGTCATTTGACGGTCACCTCAGCGTCTACCCAGTCCATCTCCATTTTCTTCTGCATATTTGTTGAGCAATCGCCTCTTGGTTGGTTTGTTTCCAGTCAGAGGTTCTTGTTGGTCATTCTTTCTGGCCGGATGGCCATTTCATCTTCAGTGTGGAGCCATCGAAGCGGGAAGCTGTTGATATAAGTTCGCAAATGGCTGTTGAAAATACTTTTTGTGACACGCTGGCCTGGTTTCTGACCAGTATAAAAAAATTGACTGGCTGACTTCACTGACAGTCGTTGTGAAAATCCTAATCTTATTCTTTATGGTGACTGAATGTGGCAGATTTCCACGCTGGTTCCACGTTGATGAAGGCGTGCGTATCTTGCCTTTCCGATTCTGGCTGGCTGGCTTTGACATCTGTATCCGTTCCGAATTCCTGTGGTTGAGACGATGCTTCCTAGCCGGTTAAGTGAGGGAAGTAACCTCTGTCAAAACTCTCCGGTTGATGGTGATTGGTGCTGGTTGTTATTGTTGTTGCTGTCGACTTTGGTGGTGATGGTGGTTGGTTATCTTCATCACCTGCGTCTTCTCTATGTTCACCTGGTCTCCTGTTTTCTCTGTCAGCATCTTCAGCCAGTTTGTTGATTTTTGCCTGTAAGTATTCGAGTTTATGTGACACTAAACAGAAATCATCCACGCGTGGAATCCGGATTTTGTAGGGATTTCTTATCGGTGGTTCAGCATATTCCTTACTCGTCGCTCCCCACAGTCTGATGCATAATCCAGTCCACCACAATTAAGAATATCATCGGTGATAATGCGCAGGCTGCCTTGTCTTACTGCTGTATTCACTTCAAGCGCCTCACTGAGTTTCCCGTTGTGGATCACCTGACACGTGGCATTGTCATATAGCTGTGGTTGAGTGA